CAAGGAGGAGTTGAGTGGGTGGAGTTCCAGGCGTGCGAGTTCTACTTGGACCACATTTTGCAATAAGGGACTACTATTTTCGGCTCATTTTATAAACAACATGAATGCCATATTGAATTCCCTATGCAGAAAGGTGCTTTCATAGAAGAGCCTGAGATAGTAGTTCCTCATTGCAGAATGTTATCTACTTTTACTGTGGGCTACCCTACTGACCGCTATCGGGGAAAGTCCTGGCGGGGTGGAATCGAGGATTCGAGCCGGATCACTTTTTCATGGACAAGGGTGGCGATTCGACAGGGGTTGCTGCGCCTCTCTCGACGTAAAGGCGACGCGGAGGCGATAGGCGAAGCCCGACTGAGACTAGGTTCCAACACCGGGCGAAACTCACGCCACCGACGACTGATTCCGGACTCCCGCACCGCGTCGCGCGACTCTCATCGACTGACAATCCGACACCATCTTCCCTAACCTTCCTCCTTCCCCCTCCCCTCCGCTCCGCAAGCCTGAAGGCTATTTTCCACTTTTTCCGCCCACGCCCGATCCGAATGCACCCGATCGGAGACCGCACACCGGGCCAGGTTTCCACCACTTCAGGCCGAGAGAAAAAGAGGTCTTCGCACTTCGGACGACTAGGAAAAATCCACAAGGTGTAACTGTAGGGTTTATAAATTATTTTTTTTTCATTTTGGGAAACCTTGATTTTTCCTGATTTTTGACAGTTCAATTCTGATTTCATAATTTTTCAAAATCCTGATCAAATCCTGATTTTTTGCGGGGAAAAACTTTTTCTCCGCGAGGCGAATTCGCAAAAATAGCTCCATAAAAAATCCGATCGGACGGCCGACTTTTCTCAAATCCTACTTTTCCTATCGATTTTTCCTCAAATCCTGATGATATAGGGATTAAATCCTGATTGACCTGAAGTCCTGATTGGATTTGCACTTTGGCATCGATATATTCTTTATTGGGTCCATTTTGTGCCCATCTACGTCACGGTATGGACAAATCGGAAATAGCTACTCGCACCTTCTGATTTCTCTCTTGGGTTCCAAGTTGCTCCAACACTTGAATGTGACATTCGTGATGAAGTCGCGGTTTTTTGCCCAAACACAGTCAGCTTATTTACAACGGTAAAGAAAAATTACCATTTTATAAAGGAGCTTTTAAAATTTTAGAGGATGATACATAACGTTGAAGAACCTGGATTTATGTCTAAAATGACTTGAAATTCCAAGCAGGTACTTCAAGCACGTAATTTTCGAGAATTCAGTGCATTTTAAGATGTTTTAAACAATTTTTCCTCCCTCTTCCCACCCCACGCGAGATTGCCTCGAAAAGGCTTTCTTGAAATGCCGCTAAGCTCCTTGTTCCAATGATTGTTCGCAATATATTCTTTCTGACGCTACTTGCGGAATGCCCAGTATACAATCATACTGCGAGTTAAGTCTATAAATTTTCAAGTTATCCCCACCACAGGCGAAAATGGCAGATTCAACCAAATTTATTGGTTGGCGCCAAAATCGGGTGTAAGTACAGGGTTAAAAATCTACCATTCTTAATTTCCGTGAATGAGAGAGGATTAAAAATTGATCAAATTAGACTTCCGACGATCGTTTTAAATGCACTTGATGAGTTGGAAAGCTTACGTGAAGCCTGAACATCACGGTGTTTTAGTCTTTATTTCTGCTATTTGCGTCTAGCGTGCGATTTATAACTGCAGCTGTCGGGAACATGCAAGAATCTCAAGTTCGGTTTCCGGAGGGCTGGAAAAACATGGCCAGGTATTTATCATAATCTTCTTTTCAGCACATGATGGCATGGACAACCATGAGACGACTTGAGCGAAGATCCCGATTCAATGGTTGATCATTTATTAATTGACTCTTATTTATCATTCTGTCGTAAAATTTTATTTCATATACGATCAAGTCAATGGGCAAGGATCGTGACAGTTATTCTGAACCAATATTGGGGGCTCTCAAGGGTTTTTTTTGGGACCCCCGAACAAAAATTTAAAGAACTTTCAAAATGGCTGCAGTTTGTGTCATATTCCATTTTTGAATTTATCTCACGAGGTGAATTTAAAACTATAAGTTTTTGCAATCTTAGACCAAAAGGCAGAGAAAATATATCAGATAGCAGTTATTTTCGATTCCGATCAGCTGATGCTTTGTTTGAAAAGTTGGTAGAAGCAGAATTTCATTTTAAAAAAAAAAAGAGTGATATGCAATCGCGTGACTTTTCCGTTTATTTCAACCGGAAAAGCACCATTCTGCGCAACAAGAGTGGCTGATCTTTATCGCTGTAATAAGATTATCCTGCGGTTCGTTTAAGTTTAGCTGGTGTGCGCAGACCCGAAAACCGAAAAGCGGGGGGAGGGGGAGGGGGCTCTTTGCCTCCGGGAAAGCTAACGAGCAGTTGCGAATTGTTTGCCGCCAATATTTCACGCAAATGACGCGGGCTCGAGGAAATTTCTTCGGGAATTTCTTCGTTTTCGAGCGATTTCCTTGAGATTCTTGGTTTAGGGCTGTCCCTGACTACTCGATCGATTTGTTCCAGGCGCGCGTCACACCAAGTTTTCGCGACAGTCCTCCACCCTAGACCACCAATTGTTTTAACGTGTCGCTCAGACAGAGGTCGTTCAGCTTGGGCACGAAAACAAGCACTCGGACTCAATTAACAAGTCTAAGACGAGTTACGAGAAGTGATTCGGCGACAATTTTTCTTTTAAAATATTCTACATAAAAAACAGCCTTCGGTTCTGAGACAAGTCGTTTGAATATTTCTCGTTTTTCCTATTCAACTTGTTGCGTCTAGGATACTACGAGGTGCGTCCCCTGGCCACTACGCGGCCAAACCCTTACAGGGCGCTTCACGTGCCCCCGTAAGTTAATTCGAATTGAGCGCGCTCATTAAGGGACTTACTCCTGTCGATAGCCACAAATATCATGAAAATCGGCCCGGTAGATCTTTAGAACGAACTATGAAATAAAATGAACATTATTTACATCGTGTACATGGGAGAATTCGCAACTTTATAACGTAATAATAAAAAGACTTGGGTCATATTTTTAAAATCTAAATAAAGCGGGCTCATTTAGAGATTGTCACTCGTCGATAACCGCAAAAATCATGGGATTCAGCCCAGGAAAACGGTAGAACGAAATGTGATAAACATTGCAGGTTTAGAGGTTTAGAGAGCTTATAATAATGATAGAAGTAGGTTTGGATTATTGAGTCTGGCAAGTACATAACGAGAAAATATGAATATAAATTATAAACTTATTCTCTATCTGAATGGCCCCATTCATCAACTTTAACAGTACAAACTATTATTGCTCTAATTCGGATTCCGGTTCAAGTTTCAGAATATTGTCTTCTTGAATTTCATTCATTTGGATTAAAGGATAGAGTAACGACTGCCGTCGAAAAAAAGTTCATTTCTTGCGCGAAATTACAATGAAAACATCATTCTGGTATAATATATTCCAGGTCTTATTGGCCTCCTTCGGTCAAGACGGTGGAACGATTCAGTGGTGCAAGACGTACAGTGCAGCCGATGAGACACGAAAAGTCGTTGTCCGCAATGCGCCTTCAAATGATCGGCTATGCAACAAAACGACGTCAGAGTTGATATAGTTGCTGCTGCCCCTGAACACAAGACTTCCCAGGAAAACACTAAAATGAAACAGTTCTCCGCCGAACGAAGCTATCGCGAGGGAAAAACGTTTGGGGAACATGCATTTCTTTCAAGCGCTACTGTCTCAGGGAAGAAGTCACTCATATCTCAATGCGTGCTAAGAGAACTTTGGGGTAAAACGTCAGCAAAAGAACTTTGTACCGTGCATTTAAAATAGTTAAAACAGATAGTAGTGACTTTCAGTTGGTCAGTAGAAATCACAGCATGAATTTCCTTTGTCCTGTCAGTAAATTCACGATTACTCTAATTTTAGAGGTAAGACGAACACACAACCACTTTTCAATGAAACATACGTATGAAATCACCGGGCTAAGATTATACATCTGTTTAAATCATTATTTAACGACATCCTTTCTTCTTTGTACTGACTATTGGCGAAGAAAGAGTAGTCCTCGTTAAACCACAATTTATTCATACATTCATCTACAAATAAAATAAAATTAATTGGAAGTAAATTTCGCCTAACCTGTACGCGAAACAAGACGAATACGAATATGTGGGTGGATTTCTGAAAAACACTTTTTATGTTCTGACGTCCGGATTTTCCCTATTGCTGCCGCGCGTAAGTTCGATTTCTTAGAAACTCGGCGGGTCGCTCAACCCTAGGTCAAGCACAAGTTTCAAGGTGACAAATAACTAGACACGTTTAGAAGAAAAACCAAAGACAAGAGACCCTTCACTAGTATCTTAGGAATGGTGGAAGCTTTTATTTGAGGGACTTCGGAATTCTACTGTTGACTCACCTAGATGGTTGCTGTTTAACAACGTGTTGGCAGTTTCGTTTTGCAAATAAGCCGAAGTTTGGGAAACTTGTTTGGCTCATGACGTCACCCGAAGCTCATCATCCACCATGTAGGTAGGTCAACAGCAAAATAAGAGTGATGACTGTTGCTCCCTCATAACTGTCCAGTAAGGTCTCGATACACGATCAAATTCCCGAACCAGTTACCATCAAAGTGTCGAGAGTCATCAGTCTTAAAATCAATAATTTGCTTACTTTGAAAATGAAAACTTGGCAGAAATGTTTCCTGTGACAGGAAATGATGAATGATGGCACTCATTTCTAATCAAAATTTGACGGCCCGTCCAATTTTGATCAAAGAGGACTGTTGCATGGTGACCATCAGTCATCAAGTGGTCTACTTTGATCAGAATTGGTTCGGAATTCGATCGTGTATCCATCAGGCCTTGAAGAATTGTCGAATTCCCGAAAGTAAAAGCTTTCACCTGTCGTCAAGAGGCCAGTGGAGAGTCTCTTGTCTCTGGGAAAAACAGATGATGTGGGAGGTAGGGATCTTACCTGTGACTTGTCCTCCAGTCGTGGGAAGAGGGATGCTAGTGAGCTCGACTGGGCGGTATTGTTGCGTGAACTGCTCGCGCCTGTGAACAGTGCTAGAGGAGCTTAGACTGTAGCTTTCCGACTTGATGAATTGACTGTTGTCGTCGTATTGATTGCCGTATTGATTCACTTGATTTGAGGAGTTGGTTGTGTTGATTGTGTTGACTGACGAATCGTCACCAGCCTGCGAACAAGTTATAAAACACAAATTCATGATCATTTGTTTCCGTTTAAAAGTGTCTGTAAAATTGTTTAAATTTCTTAAACGTTCAAAAAACTTGTAAAAAACCCCTTTTTTGGTCTGTACAACTAACTGTATAACATAAAAGTATAACATACTGAAAAAAAAATTGTTTCCGTGTTTGGATATACGATGCACGACGGTATGCATTCAGGACCGGATTCACCTATTTGCCGCCGATGCTTCAATGCTAAGGAAGAACGCGCGTATAAACATTTGAGAAATACCAAATTTCACAGGATAAAACATGTATTTTTGAAGAAAGTATTGTTTATTTTTCCTTGAAATTTGCAGGTATTTTAGATTAAATATTGAACATCACTATCAGAAAAATTTGAAGAAAAATATTCACAATTTTCTCAATGAATTCCTCATTCATTGAAGGAGCTGTGGAAAAGTCTGAAGGCTCATACGACGTTTTTCCTATAATCTCGGTTAATATTCAACACAGAAAGTTGCTGTTCAGACGGATCTTATTATTGTCAGCTAATGTACAAGAATCAAGCATCAAAACGCGATTCTGTGACCAGCGCAACTGACCCATTAATCCGAGCTCTGTGGCGTTTTCGTCACCTGACAGGATTGATTCGCGACAATGCAACTGAATTGTCGGGAAGAACCACGTGTTGATCGTTTCCATCGGTCGTCGGGACGGAGGGCGGAAGAGGTGACTGCCAAGATGCAACAGTTGCCGAGGGAGGGCGACGTACGACGTCCGACGTCATGGTGCGGGGTGCGGTGCGTTACGAGCCCCCCCTTCCCTCCTCGTGGGGGAGGGCATGTCGGATGTACTATTGACGGGCGGAGCGATAACAATTACTGTTGACGTCCGCCGTGCACCGGCTGTCAGGGGTCGCTTTGAGTTTTGGCACCGTCCTGGAATTCTCCGCGTACAACTCACTGTCCCGCGGGCTTGACGCTAATCCATCATCGATTAGCTCTTCGGATACGTTTAAAGACGAAAATAATGGAGCGGTTGCAAACTTCAGATGAAGCTCGAGCTCTTGCATTGCCATTAAAGTACTTTTTCTTGCGAGAATTTTGCGAAAAACACAACGCTGCTACTGGTTTTCTCTGAAATCAATTCCAAAGCTCGAAAAAAGTTATCGAAATTGCGGCCGTAATGTAGGGAATATCCCTAGCTATGCACAGATAGGGAGTACATACATTAGTAGGGTTGCCGTAGTTCCAGTCTTGGAGTTCCCAAACAAAATGGCAACCCTGCTGATGTATTTGCTCCTTATCTGTGCATTAAGTATTGGAGACTATACTCGTGACTGGACATAGGGGAGGACTCTTAACATAGCGTGGGATATTATCTCCATCGCGGCCTCAACTTTGAGAGCTTTTTTTTAGCTTGGGAATTAATTTCAGAGGAATACAGTGGCACCATCGAGTTTTCCGCGAAATTTTACGAAAGAATCGCAAATCTCTGAAATACGCAAGAGCTCCTTTGACGTAACGACAAGTCCATCAATATTTAGCGAGTCCTTATGGCAGAAATGGACTAGTCATGCCGTCATTTCAGGAATTCCTATCTACGCCAATGCATCCTGATCTACACCAAAATAAATCGTCATCCACCCATTAAATCCAGATCCATCCCGTTTCATCCCGATCCGTCACGTTTTATCCCGATGTACCGTGATAAATCCCGATTTATCCGAGAACCACGATGATTTGGAACGGAAGTTATTAGGGAGCCAGGGTTGAGCCCAGGCAATGAAGTTTTCTGATTGAGTTATGGGTCAGTTGCGCTGGTCACAGAATCGTGATTTGATGCTTGATTCTTGTAGATCAGCTAAAAATAATAAGATCTGCAAGCAGCAACTTTCTACGTTCAATATTAACCATGATATTGCCCTTTGAAAAGTCGGGTTTTTGACGCCATCCACCGCGGTAGTGACATCCTTGGTTTCTTTCATCTTGCTGTCATGCGCGTTACACATTGAGTAACCAGTGCGAAGTGTTTCCCTGACTGATAAAAGCATGATGGAAAGACCAAAGGTGTCGCTACCGCAGTGGATGACGTCAAGAACCCGACTTTTCAAAGGGCGATATTTCGGTTAATATTGAACGCAGAAAAATACTGTTTGTACAGATCTTATTACTTTTAACTAATCTGCAAGACTCAAGCATCAAAACACGATTTTGTGACCAGCGGAACTGACCCATTGATTGACCAATCAGAACAAAGCTAGCGCCGTGAACTCAAACATTGACTAAGCTGTTTTTACTATAGTACGATAAGATGGTTCGGCGACGGCATGTGTACTCCCTTTGGTGGTACGTTGATAGAACGAGTCCTTGTGGCCGATGGCTCCGGGAACGAGGAAGCTGGCCGTGCAGGCGCGTGGTTCTAAGTTTAGCCAGGATGGCATGCATCCGTCATTTTTCAAAATCATTCTTTTCGCTCGGGAGAAATTCGGACTTGACGTCACCTCGCCCACCCTCGGGGAGATTCGTGCGCGGTGAGTCGCTACAACCGCTCGGGTGCATACATTATTTATGATGCTGCACTGGCACTGGGACGTCCAGTCGAGCACGGCAGGTAATTGACGCCGACCGCGCCCGCGGCCGCACCTGCCGTCCCCTCTCAGTCTCACTCAGCCCCGATCATGTCGCGTAAACATTCACCGCCGCGAAATCCCCGTTTAAAAATGGACCTGCCAGGTGGAATACTCCCCATAACGGCTGGGGACAATTTATATTCGTGCCTTAAAATCGAAGGGCCCACCCCTTAACGAACGCTACGCAGAGGTAGAGTACCTGTATAGGGAGAGTATGGACAGATCGGTTCATGGAGGGCTTAGGGCCCAAAAGTGCAGCCACCCTTCTGAGCAACTTCTAACACACAACATTTCACTGCCAGCCTACAGATTTCAATTCTAACCAAGATGGCTAAGAATGTACATAAATGAGCGTTCTTTCGCAAAAATAAGTAAATTTATGCAAAAAGTAAGCCAAATACATGCTTTCTAAACGACGGTTCGTAACTATTGTATTTGTAAATCGCTCTGGATATTCGAACTTCATAGGTTGGCTGCCCTTTTGGGCCCTAACTTTATTCGCGGAGGCATCGGTGAAGGCCTGATGTACTTTCGGAGTTTCAGATCTGTCCATACTCTCCCTATACAGGTATTCTACGCAGAGGTAAAACATGAGGGAGAACGCGATAAAAATATTGGTAGTAACTCGGAAATCGAGGATAGCCAGCTTTTTCAAAGCTCATTTCCTGCCGATGGCAAAAAAAACCATAGAGATCGATCCGGTAGATCTCCAGATATAACTGGATTGCGTTTTGCAAATATGAATCAGGAGCATTGCCATGTTGACAGGCAGTGAATGACACATAATGGCAATACTCCCCGCAGAGTATGTAGGACTTTGCAAAAGACCTTCTCCCAAAAGCAGCGACGCTTTACTCTGAGCCCCAAAAAGAGCCGTTTTCTAAAATGGTCATATATTGTTCGACGAAATGTCATAAGAAAATAATTATTTACAAGCAAAGAAAAAATACGCATCTCTTTGAATTGGAATCGTTTCCTGCCGTCACAAATACCGAAAGCGCGGGCTCAAAACATATTTTTCCCCAGGGAGTGCATCCCTTCACTTTTGAACGCTCCTATAACGTCCTCGTGCAATGCGCAGGACGATCAGAGGCGCGAAGCGACTGGGCCGCAAAGCAGCCAGGGGGCCCGACCCTAGTCCCCCCCCCTTAATATATTAATAACATATCGCTTTGACGTTTGCCCCAACTTGATCGTTAATTTTCAACAGACATCGAAAAGTTTTGTTCAGTACATTTTAGAGTCTTTGTAAATGGAAAAAATTAATTGTAGATATGATAAAACTATCTTCCACGGGGTTTTCGTATTTTTAAATTGAAAATGCTAAATTTCCTTGGTAGCTTGGCAACAGAGGCAGATTGTGGCGTCATCGTCGTGGCGTCAAAGATGCGTCGCCGCGTGATGGGATGCCAAATTGCCAAAATCAGGGCGAAATGAAACATTCAGCTGCACTCAACGCGGTTGAGCACGGAAGAATGGACTACCAATTGAACTATTTCTACCAAACGGAGCTATGTGAATTAAGACATGAGCCATCAAACTCGTAAGAATATATGCATAATAGGACTCACGTCATAATGCACATAGCTCGGTTTGGTACAAATAAGTCCAATTTTAGATTAGTATCTGCAAAGCTGTCGTCCTAATTAAAAACACCGTATGAGCGTTTGAATGTTGCTAAAGTTTTTTCCTAGAAAACATATATCTCAGAAGGAAGTTATGAATATTTTTCCTTGAAATTTTCAGACTTTATAGATTGAATTACAAACGAAATCCTCCGGAAAATCGGAACCGAAATAGGTATTCAAAAATTTGCTTGCAAATTCGTGATTTGTCGAGGAAAATGTTTCAACGCCTGGTGGCTCATACAGCGTTCTTCCTTAGCACAACAGAATGATAGCACGGGACTGTATACTGCTGTGCTAAGGAAGAACGCCGTATAAACATTCGAGAGTTGCCAAATTTTCTTCGATAAAATGTTTAGAATTGCGGAAAGTCATGAATATTTTTCCTTTAAATTTTCAGGAACTTCAGGTGAAATTGCCCACAAAATTATCTGAAAAATTGGAATGCAAATTGTCACAGGTTTACCAGGAAATTCGTGTTTTATCAAAGCAAATTTGGCACCGCCTGAAGGTTCATACGAGGTTTTTCCTCAGCACGGCAGTATAGTTCAAACCGAAAACTGGCAAGAGGGTGTCGCAGCCGCAGCAGCGTGACGTTCCAAAATCCGGCACACTCTGCAAAGCCACACAGTCCCAGCTCCCCAAATTTGCTTCTACCACCGCACCCCCCCCCCCACACACACACACACGCACGCACACTCTCGTCGGACCTCCTCGTCTTGAGTTATTTAAATCCAAGCTACAAATC